TGCACACATCCCACCTGCTGGCACACCCGACTCAGCTACCCCTCAAGTGCAAGCCAGCATCTTCTCTCTTCCACATCTTCCAACGGCCTCCAAAGTGGGCCATATCCTGTCTCTACTCTTGGTCCATCCACTGTAATTATTTCTCAGAGAGCAGCCAAAATAATCATTTTAAAATGATTTTTATTTACTTTATTTTAAAAATTTATTTATTTATTTGGGGGGGGATTAGGTTTCTTTGTTTAATGGAGGTAATGGGGATTGAACCCAGGACTTGCATTGCTAAGCACACACACTACCACTGAGCTATACCCTCCCCCCAACCCCCAATTAAATGATTTTTAATTAAATCAAGGGCACATATCCATATAACGGAATATTATTCAGCCCTAAAAAGGAATGCAGTACTCATCATGCTACAACACGGATGAAACTTGAACACACTACACTGAGTGAAAAAAACCAGATACAAAAGGCCACATATTGGATGTTTCCATTTACATGAAATCTCTAGAATAAGTAATCCATGGAGACAGAGAGCAGAGTGGTGGTTGCCAGGAGCTGGGGAAAGAGGGAACTGGGAGTGACTGCTTACTGGGTTCGGGTTTTCTCTGGGGGTCATGAAAATGTCTTGGAACTAAACAGAGGTGATGGTTGCACAACACTGTGGACATACTAAATGCCACTGAACTGTGTACTTTAAAATCATTAATTTTATGTTTTATGAATTTCACCTCAATAAAAAAAGAAATAACAAATTAGACCTTGGCACACTTCCTGCTTAAAATCTTCTGGTGACTTCACAACAAATAAAAATAACCCCCAGACTCCTCACCAGCAAGACCCTAGTGTTCCAGGCTCTGCTCTGGGACCCCCCACAAAACTCTGTGAAGGAGGTAACATCATCCCCATTTTGAGAAGGGAAACTGAGCTCAGAGAGATAAAGTGACTTGCCAGGATCATGTGGAAACGGGCAACCTGAAGCTGGCTCTGTCTGGCGCCTAACCAGCCCACAGCTGCAGTGGACACCGTGGTGGCCGCCCAGACCCTCCTTCAGCATCGGGCACTCATGGCCCCAGCTGCCTATGGTGCCGGCGGCTGATGGTTCTCAGATCTGTAAGTGGAAGAACCCCCTTGCCCCAGGTCCTGACCCTCCCTGAGGATAGTCCCTGTCCAATGACAAGTCGGTCGGGTGTATAGTCTGGTCCCCACCTCAGGGGGATGTCTTTGGTGGCCACCCCAGCTCCAGGGCTGCCCGTGTGAGGACCAGTCATGACTGCATTGCAGCTCATCTCTCCCTCTGCCCAAGCCTGCTCCTCCACTCCCTCACAGGGCTGTTTTCCAAGGGCACACCAACACCCCTCCTGCCTATTAATCTCCATCTCGGAATCTGCTTCCTGGAACCCCAACCTAAGATATCTGCTCTGCTTTTAAGGGCCAGACTGGAGGGTGCAGGCTTTTGTCCTGAGGGCCGGCGGGTGAGGAGGGGCGGCAACAGCTAAAGCCTGTGAGGGATCGATCAGACTTCCACTGTAGAAAGATCCTACTGGAGAACAAACTGGAATGAGAGAGATGGGAGGCGAGGAAGCTGGTGAGACGGGCCAGGCCTGAGGTCACACCGTGGTGGTAATGGCAGGGAGAAAGCCAATTCTAGCAGTAGCCACTGGGTGGAATAAATGGACCGTAATTCGAGTCTGGCCTGCAAGCCCTGTGCCTGGCCTGGGGGTGACGAGGGGAATGCCTGTGCCCCGGGCTATCTTCCATCTGGAAGTCACTCATCAGCTCTGGGCCAGCCTGCTGGGGTGCCAGCCCTGGCTCTGCCTGTCACTAGCTGTGTGGCCTGGACATGGTACCTTGGTGCTTCACTCTGTCCATTAGAGAAAACTGGGCTAATACCAGGCCTTCCTCAGGGGTGGCTGTGAGGAGTCAAGGAGTTAACACAGTTCATAAAGCTTAGACAAGGGCCTGGCATGGCACAAGAATCACCTTGACCACTCCAGGCTTCCCAAGTACCTGCTGGGTGTCTGGAAAGGACACGGGCCTTGGGTCAGACACACCTGGTTGCAGCCCTGCGTGCTGGGGGCAAGTCCCTTCACTGCTGAGCCCCAGATCTTGCATCAGTAGGAGAGCAGCTAGCCTTCAGGCCATAAAGGACTATTAGGAGAATTAAGTAACATTTGAAAAGTTCCTGGCACACAACGTGAAGTCGGCAGCTGCCACGGCTGTGTGGATGGTGGTGAGTATCAGCGTGGAGCTGGGTGTACTTGGCCATCCCCCGGCAGGCAGCTGAGCCTTGGCAAGGCCAAGCCCCGCCCATCCTTTGCACTCTCAGCCTGCTCCTCCTCCAGTGTTCTCTCCCTAAATGTCATCGCCATCGCCCAGCTGCCCAAGCCAGAAATGAGAGGAACACTCACGTCCTCTCTCTTCCATCCCCCAACCCAGGCAGTCACCAAGTCCTGGCCCTCTCCAGCCTCCCCTCAACTCCATCTCTCCCATCCCCTTACCTCCCCACAGGCCATTCGGCAGCCCCTGCCACTCCCCACCCTGATGATTCTGCTTCCTCACTTGAGTGGTTCAAACCTTTGTGTGTAGGGGGTGCATCCCGTGGACTTCATGCTGAGGACCAAACCCTTAACCCTAAGAACAAGGCCAGAGCTGGTCACTGCATCCTCAGGGTGTACAAGATCTGGTATACAGTAGGTACTCAATAAACACTAGCTGGCTGGAGAATGGACAGATGCATGAAGGTATGTATGTGCTGCCAGGAACAACACTAACAATGAAAGAAAGAGCACAGGCACACAGCATCCGCTCCCTGCCGGGCCCTGCTCTAAGCCCCTACATGGATTAACTCATTTCATGCTCACAACAGCCCTCCGTGCTGGCATCTTTTATTTACCCATTTTGACAGTGGAAGGACAGACATTACAGGAAGGTTAAGTAACTTGCCTAAGGTCACACAGCAAAAGCGCAGCAGAGGTTCAAACAGGACTCAGGACCACAGTAGCAGCGACCAATCAGAAAAGCTCCCAGTCCTGCTATGCTCACCCCAAAAACCTTCACACCAAGCCCTAAGGGCTAGGCCCAAGGCACAGAAAGTTAAGATTCTTGCCTAAGGTCACACGTCTGTAAATAGGACTTCCTTGTTGATGAATAAATAGGCTTCCAGTTGACGGCAACTTTGTCTGGGGGGGTGGGCAGGGGGCTATTCCCCCAGAGTCTCATTTCTGGGGGCCCTGATGAACAAAAAATTCTGAGCCTGCATGACTGGGGGCCAGGCTATGGCACTGGAGGTCACAGGGAATTCAGGCCACCAGTTCCTGCCTCCTGTTTCCTCAGGACCTGGCTTCAGGCTGTTAAACCCACCCAGGGCAAAAGCTTTCAACTGGTTGGCTGCCTGTAGGGCAGTGCCTCAGGCCTGCCCATGGGGTGGGGTGGGGAGACTGAGCCACCTAGACCCTGGGGACACCCCCACTCCCGCCTCCCCCAAAGCAGCTCTGCTTTGTCCAGGGTTCTGAGGGCACTGTCAATTGGAAAAAAGGTTCTACAGTCAAAACAACTTTTGAAAATCAGTGCCCTGAGGGATAAATGTCCTTGTCAAGCAAAGTGGCCTTCTCCAGTCTATCCTGGTGACATTCAGGGAGACTTGGATGCAGTGAATTCTGGGATGCGAGAGACAGGAGGGTGAGAGTCTCCGAGGCCCTCAGCCAAGTCCAACGTCAAGACCATCCTGACTGTTCTGTGGCCACACACCTGCCCTGGGTGTGCCCTAAGCCAAGCCGGGGGCCAGTTTGTCTCCCCTGGGCATTTGCCCACACAGCTTCTTGTGCCTGGAATAAAAAGAGGGACTACGTACAAGTAACGTGTACAGTACTGCTCCTGCTTTCTGTAACCCTCACTACAGACCTGTCAGTGATCGTTACCCCCGTACGAGGGAGGGCAAACTGAGGTTCAGAAGAGAGAAAGGATTCACCTGAGCATTCAAACTCAGGTTGGTCTGACTCCAAAATATTCTTTTCATTGCAACCTTGCCTACCACCTCTCTCCCTCCTCACCTACATTTAAATTTTGCCCACACTCAGGGCTCAGCTGCTTTCCCAGTTTATTTATTTATTTTTAATGGAGGTATTGGGGATTGAACCCAGGACCTTGTGCATGCTAAACACACACTCTACCACAGAACCCACTGAGCTATATCCTCCCTGCCTCACCCTACTCTCTCTTACACACACCCTCCTGTTTATAAATGCTGTTTGCTCTGCTCTGAACACATTCCCCTCCTCTCATACCTCCCTTCACCCTGCTGACTCCTTCACACTCTTTGGGAATCGGCTTGGGTGTCACCTCTTCTGGGAAGCCCTCCGTGGATACCTAGCTGGGTCAGGAGCCTCTGGGTCCCTCCTCTGAGTTTCTCCCATCACAGCTCTGATGGCTCTGTCTTGTGGTCATTTGCTTTTCTGCATCTTAAGGAGGCCCTAAGCTCTCAGGGACAGGGTCTAGGTCCCCTGTAGTCACCACTATATCCTGTGCCCAGCATGGTGCAAGGCACATACTAGGTGCTCAATAAACACCTACTGAATGAGTGGAAGTGTGAGCTCAACAGGCAGCCTCGACGTCCACCTCCTGGCAGGTGCTGGGCATAGTGCACATGAGGCACAGTCCCTGCCCACCTAGCCCTAGCCCTGCCTCCACAGGAAGCCTCTCTTGACCTCCTTTCCTGAGGTCTGTCCAATTCGCACACAACATCTCTTTCATCCATTCAAACCTTTGAGCACAACTGAGCCAAGGTGGCGTAAGGGAAGCATCTGAAAGTAGGACACAGAAAGTGATGCACCCCCAACCCCACCCGAGCCCCTTGTGCCCGCCCCACGGTGCTCACCAGTTGCAGGTACACAGCACACCATCAGCCCAATCCTCCTGCACATGCCAGGCTGATTCCGAGGCACCACTGGCCACCCACCTGCCTGCCCTCCCTTGCTCACCCAGCCCCAGCCCAGCCGTACCCGGTTGATGAGCTCGCCGACCATGCCCGTCCAGGAGCCATTGGGCTCAGGCGCCCCATACAGCCCATCCTCCACCAACCGCAGGCGGTAGCGGAAGCGCAGCAGCTCGGCCAGCTCCCGCAGCATGTCCACACAGAAGCCCTCGAAGCGCTCGTTCCCCGACAGGGCCTGGAAGTTGGGCCGGCGCATGACGTATGGGTTCTCCTGGGGAAACGAGAGAAAAGAGGGGTCAGAGATTGGCTATCTGGGGGCTGGATCAGGGATCCTGGAACCCAGGCTGGGCAGCTAGATCAGGAACCTGCTCACAAGAGTGGGCATGATGGAGTTGTTGCATACATCCCCTGCTGACACATGCTCAGAGTCAGGGAAAAAGCAAAGCAGATTGTAGGGAGCTGGTTTTCATCTCTACCAGCTAACCTAACACTCATTTGTCTCAAGTTCAAATGGCTACGAGGGAGGCAGGTAACCTGAGTGAATCAGACCGCATGGAGATTGGGCAAACTTCCAAACTGTTGACTATGACCCACAGTAAGAGATATATTTTACTTTGTAATTCAGATCATACACATATATGTCCATGTGCACACACACACACACGCACTTAACTAGACTTAGTTCCACAAAACAGTCCTCTCCCTTAGACGATGGCAAAATACCCCAATATTTTGTTGTGCCAAATTCATTTTTAACACAACCAATAGTGATCCATTAAACCCATGAGCCACCAAGGGATCAAAGAGGATCTGCCCACCAGGATTTAGCTCCGACCCAATGCTGCCATGAGGGAAGCAGGCCTGAGGTGCCAGATGGTCCAATGTGAAGAGAATTTGGAAGCCCAAGTTGTTTCGTACAATCTCCTGATTATAAAGGTTAGCAACAAGTCAAATTCTAATACCAACTTTTTTAATGCTTTGCAGGATAAACACCTGACAGTCTGCTATCTCTGGCCTACGGCTGTCTTGCTACACGGATGGTTACCTCTGAAGGGTTACGAGCAAACTTTACTGACCCTCACTGTGCCAAATAAGCACAAAAGCAGAGAGAACATCCTGCGTGCTAGTAAGACATGGCACATGAAGATGATGGTACCAAAAGAGAAACTTATTTTGACACATTATTGTCTACAGGGTTGTTTGTACAGTGTCACTCAGGAACAAGGTGGGTTAGCACTTAGGAACCAGCCAGAAGAGCTCTGGCAATAACATCCACAGTGGTAACCGTGTGGACTGAACACCTGCCGAACATCAGCCCCTGCACTGTGTGTGTTCTCTGGATTTTATCACTTCAGTTCCCTGCAGTGACCTTACACAGGAGGTATTCTTAGATGCACTTTACATGTGTAGGAAATGAGGCTCACAGAGGTCAAGTGACCTTTGCCATCTCTCATTCATTCGCCACATAATTACTGAGCTCTGAGGTAGATGTGGCGACAATATTTTGCAGCTTCTCCCATCAAGAGATAATTTCCCCACTCCTTGGGTCTGAGCTGGCCTCAAGACTTGCTTTGGGCAACAGAATATGTTGAAAGGAGTGCTTTGTGAATTTCAGAGCCTAAGAAAGGAGTGCTTTGTGAATTTCCCTCTGCGGGACCTCTTAGGACCACAGTGTAAGGAATCCTGGGCCAGCCTACTAAAGGATGAGTAAACCAAGGTGTGCTGGCCAACAGCCCAGGCTAGACACCAGCTGAACACAACCACAGTGGGCTCTGCAAAACTGCTTGGGTGACCCACAGAATTGTGAAAAATAACAATCGTTATTGTTTGAAGCCTTCAGATTTTGGGATTGTTATACAGCGATAGGTACTATGAGGTACCTATAGCCTGGATTCCAGGATCCCAACAAAGCCCCAGAATCGAGGGGCGATGGATGGAGGAAAGTCAGTAGTTCTCTCTCTCTACGAAGCCACATTTCCAAATCCAAAATTGTAGAACTGAGAGTAGGAATGAGATAATACTAATAATAGCAGCAGCTAGCATTTCTTGTGGGCTTGCTGTGTGACAGCTCTTCTGTCAGCGTGGGAGGTCGGTATTATTACCTCTATTTTAGAGATGAGGACACTGAGGTCCCAAGAAGTGAAGTAGTAAGTGGCTGAGATGGACAAGTTGGGCTAAGTCCAAAGCTCTGCTCTTAAGCCCTGTGCCAGACTAAACTCGAGTGGACAGGATCAGACAGTGGACCTGGGAAAAGCCAGACAAAGAGATGGGGGACCCAGGCCAAGTATCGAAGCTAGAGAATCAGAAATCAAAAATTCTCTAGACAAGCACCCAGTGTGAAAACTGGAAGGTTCTTGTGCAGTCCTCTTGACATACAGAGGAGGAAACCGAAGCTCAGAGAGGTCAAGTATCTTACCCAAGGTCACAAAGCTGAAGCAGGGCAGTGGGAAGGGGAGCAGAGCTGGGATTCAAAACCCAGTTGCTATGCTCTCCAAAGCCCTTGTTCCTTCCACCAAGCCAAGCTGATCTCCAAAAACAAGACTGAGGCACTTGGGTTGTGGATTTGGGTGCAAGGCCTCAGGATAGGGGTGGGAGCTTATAGAGCCAAAAACAGGGACTGGGGCCTGTGAAAAGAACTCAAGGTCAGAAAACGATGATCTAGCATTCAACCTACAGCCCTAGACCATCAGATCTGAGGGTCTTAAGGAGTCTCTAACCCAAGGTTTTCAGACGTCTTCAAAAAGAATCTTCTTCAGAAGGGCAGCACTGCAGACAAACAGTGGGATGTTGCTAAGTCTGAGTCTAAGAATTCATTCTATGAATGGCTGTGCACCTGTACACAAAAAGGTATGTCCAAGAGAGTCGTGGCCTTGCTGCTCGTAGCAGGAACAAAGACTGAAACAGCCTAATCTGGAACAGGTTAAAAAGATTACTGATGTCATCAAAAATCCCTGGCAACTACTAAAATAACAAGTTCTATAAGATATATTAAAAGGAAAAAAACAAGCTACAGAACAACGTGTACAATATGCTATTCTTTGTGAAGGAAAGAGTGGGGATGTGCTTGTACATGCTCAGACATTTCCAGGAGGATAGGGAAAAAATGGGAGCCTGGAGAGGTAAGGAGACTGATTTTTTTTCACTCCTTACCCACTCTGCCCTCTTTGAATTCTATTTAATATAGAATTAAACTGAATTCTACTGAATTCTATTTAATTAACTTCTGTCCCGCCTCCAGTTAAACATTTTAAATATTAAAATATTTTAAATTTTTGAAATACGATGTTTGAGCATGTATGGAAATGCAAAAGATCAAGAAGAGCCAAAGCGATCCTATGGAAGAACATGAAAACTGAACGATTTCCCCTCCCAGATATTAACACTTAATTTAAAGCTATGGTATTTAAGACAACATGGGATTTGCATAAAGACAAACAGACAATAAAATGGAGAGTTTGGAAACCGACACATAAGTGGGGGAGGGTATATAGCTCAGTGGGTGCTTAGCATGTGTGAGGTCCTGGGTTTAATCCTCAGGAGCTCCATTTAATAAATGAACAAATAAATAAACCTAATTACCTCCCCCCAAAAAGAAAAACCAAAAAAATTTTAAATATATGGACCTAATTTATGACTAGGGTAAAACTGTGGTGAAGGGGGAAAAAAATGACCATTTTAATAAATGGTGCTGTTCATTGAAACATCTGTATGGAAAAAATGGATTCTAGCCCCACTACCTCACATAATACATAAAAATCAACTCTTGGTAGATTGCAGATCTAAATGGAAAAGGTAAAATTATTCAGTTTTCAGGAAACAAGTAGGAGACTGTCTTTATGACCTTGAGGTAGAGAATCCTTGAATTCTAAAAACATTAACTGTAAAGGAGAAAAGAATGGATAAAGTGGCCTTTAGTAAAATTAAAAATCTTTTCATCCAAAGATACCACCGAGAATGAAAAGGCAAGCCACAAAGTGGGAGAAAGGTCTCTGCAATACATATTCTGACAAAGAACTTATATTCAGAATATATAAATAGCTTACAAGTCAATAAAAAGGTCAGATACCCCAATTTTCTAAAAATAAAGATTTGAGCAGGGACTTCCCAAAAGAAGATTCCAAACAGGCAATAAATCAAAAAGTGGTCAACTTTCCTGGTCATTAGGGAGATGTGAATTAAAAATGAAAACCCCAATACGGCCAGTACCTTTCCATATGCAGCACTGGCAAAAGCAAGGAGCAACTGAAATTCTCCTTCATATGCCGCCAGTGGGAACAGAGAAGGTGCTGCTGTTTTGGAAGGTGCTTTGGCAGTATCTACAGACGCTCAAAAACCCAGCAATTCCACTCCTGCATATGCACTCGACAGAAATGCCTGTATAGTCACCAAAACGCATGAGGTACAATGTTCATAGCAGGACTATGCATAATAGCAAAATAACCAGAAAAACCCCAACGTGCATCAATTTGGTGGGTAAGTAAATCACAGAACAGAACATACGAGACTATACTACTTGCAGCAGCTTGGGTGAGTCTCACAAACACATGTTGTGCACAAGGGGAAAGACACAAGAGAGGACACATAGCATGATGTCACTTATCTGAAGTTCAAAGTGGGTGATTAAAGTTGAGACCATTGAGGGCTTAGAGACCGGAAGAGATGTAAGAGGGCTGCGGGTAGGAGGGCTGGTTCCAAAGGTGTGCTCAGTTATGATTTGGGCAAGTTTCTGTATGTATGTTACACTTCCATGAACATCTCTTGAAACTAAAAACAGAAGTGTTAAAGTAGGATGGGTTCTAGAACATTCCTCACAAGCTGCTTGCCTGGGCCCTTTCATAAATCCAGGACCCAACTCCATATCCAGAGCTCCCTGGGAGTGCAGTTTAAAGGACGCTGATCTAGTCCAACCCCTTCAGTCTATTATGAATATTGTAATACCCTCATTTTACAGGAGGGAACCGAGAAGAGAGAAGAGATCCGCCCACGTCACGTAGTGTGTGGACGGTAGGGCCAGGCTTTGCAGCCTCAAGGGCTCAGGAAGAAGCAGAAATCAAGGTGGTGTGGGGCAAAGTAGAGGCACATGGGCTCAGTCATCTTCAGGTTGGGCAACCCATGTCATCTAAGCCCTGGTTTTATCTGAAAATCAGAGGTGATAATGGTACCAGCCTCAGGGCTGCCATGAAGACTGAGTAATACCAGGAAAGGGCTCGGCACACAGCTCAGAGACTTTGGCCATGGTGACTGCTATTTTTACTGAGGATGCCAGATGGGGAGAGAAAAAGAACTCACATGTGCTCAGCACACCTTCCCAGCGGGGCACTGCCACGGGGAACTTCTGATCTCATGCAATTCTCCCACAGCCCTTCAAGGTGGGATTATTAGATCCATTTTACAGATGAAGGTATAGAAACTGAAGAGCTAAACGACCTGAAGTCCAGATAAAGCCAGGAATGCAAGTAAGGTCTATCTGACCCCAGAGGCACCAAAGAGCAGGATGAGACGTCACAGCTTGATGAAGCGAGTGCCCTGAGAAAACCCTCTGGTGGGGGGCCTGGGGCTGAGGGAAGGGCCCTGCATAGCCTCACCTTCTGGGGCCTCTCCTGCACCCCCAGCTTCTCTGCGGGACCTCTCTCAGTCTTGGCGTCAGCCCACCCTCCATCAGCTCCAGACCTGTGGGACCCATCCCAGGGACAGCCCAGCCTCCACCCCACTGAGGATCTCTTGCTCCCTCCCTCAGCCCAGCCCATCCTCAACAAATGCCTGTCCCTCTCCACAGCCCCAGCCCAGCTTAGGCCTGTCCTACCGACCTGGGGCACCACTCTCTCCTGCAGCCTCCCTCATGGGCTCAGCTTTCCTGACATCCAGATTTGGCCCTGACCTTCCTGCTGAACAGTCTCCAAGGTAGAGGTAAGAGTAACGAAGTCCTGAGACCCTTCCCCACCCCTGCAGCAGCACTCACCACCCCTTGTCTTTTAAGTGCCAGGCACCATTCTAGGCACCGGGGACAGAGCAGGGAATAGCACAAGTCCTGACAGCTTCTTGCCCCAGGTGCCCAGGCTGACTCATGTCTCAATCCCGAAGTGCCTGGCACAGGGCCTGCCTAGAAACACAAGTCGGAAGATGTTGGTAAATGAATGGGCATGTCTGGCTGTGCACACTGAGGCCGCTGCCTCCAACTCCAACCTGGCACATACTTCCTGAGCCCCTGTTCCTGCAGTTCCTGCTGCCTGGAATGTCAGGCCCCTCCTCTGTGTACCCAGTTCCTACACAGCTTCTAAATCCCCATTTACCACCACCTCCTCTGTGAACCTTTCCTCAATCTTTCTAAAGTTGAGACAGTCCCTCCTTTCTGTGGGAGTCCCTTATTACCTTGTGTGGGAACGACTGTGTCCAGGTCTGTCTCCTTCATCAGATTAGGATCCCCTCTCCAGGGCCCCTCAAGGCTAGGGAAACCATGAGACCACCTGTGACTCATAAATGTACCTCCAGAACTCGTGTGAGGCCTGGCACACAGCAGCTTCAATAAATATTTGTGGAATGAATGGACAAATGAATGAATCCGTCAAGAGAAGAATGAAGGTCAGGAAGAGAACACTGGCTCATGGGCCTCAGGGAGAAGGGGAGACACAAGAAGAGACTTGAAGCCCCCCACCCCAGGGTTAAGCTCTGCTGTCCTGATATCCCCGCTGACCTCGGGCCCTGCTGCCCACCAAGAACCCCATCTCTTCCGGGTCCAGGAAGCCTCTGGGGTTGACTACACATCCCCCACCAACACACACACACACACACACACACAGAGGTACCACTTCTCCCAGCCAGCCTGGCCTGGCTCTCAGGGCCCCTCAGTGAAGCTGTTACAAAGTGTCTGGTTTCCTGTCTGCAGGCCATCTGTCCCTCCCCAGCAGGCTCACTGGCCTTTCTCCAGAGGGACGTGAGGTCCACGTTAGATCAGGAGTTCCCTAGGGACTGAGAGAATGGCCCTGCAATGCTGTGCTTTAGGGGGCCTCTGATGTCCTGTGGAACCGGTGGTAATCCTCTCAACCTCGATGTCCATGGCTATTAGTGACTGAGGGGCTCCCACCAACCACGGATGCCCACGGGCCAGGGACTCGGCTGCTACGAAGAGCATGGCGGCCTCCAGGCCCAGTTGCTCAGGGCAGCCTCCTGCTACCCAGGTCCTATGCATCACCTCCTCCCTCACCACCTGGCAAGAGGTAGCAGGGGGCAGGGGAAGGGGCAGGGGAGAGGACAGGGGCTCTGACCATGTCACTCATCTCCACCTGGGACTTGCCCTGTTTCCTTACCTTCAAGAGGAGGAAGACAGGACAAAGTTCACCAAGTAGCGGAGAGGTTTAAAGAGCGACACCTGATAAGGACCTAGCACAGGGCCCAGAGAAGAACAGATGCTCTGTAAATACTCATTGACACGCGAAGGCACCTTGGTCTCTGATCTGGTGAAATGTAGGAATGGCACCCCCAGGGCTGCAGGACAAAGTTCTTGGCTGGTGCTCAGGTAGGAAACGACTAGACATTCAAAGCGCAGTGGTTAAGACTCCATTCTAGCTACGCTTTATACTTGCAGTGTGACCTGAGCAAGTCACTCTACCTCTCAGAGCCTCTTCAAGACAGATACTAAATAATTTGACATGTGTCAACACGCTCACTCGGCAAAAGTGACAAGATAGCCGTCCTAGCAGTGGTGATTTACAGGGGCCTACCGTGGGCCAGGCGCTGTGCGAGGCACCCCCTGTGTTGCCTTGTGGAGTCGTCACAAGGGCAGTCATCCCCACCTCCGCTGTGCGTCGGCAGGCTGGCAGAGCCCAGAGCTGGACCTGGCTCTGATTGTAGACTCTGTACGCACCACTGCTCCAGCAGCAATTAGGTTGGTGACATCTTGACCACAATCAGGACTGCTGGGTACCCGGATCACATCCTTACTGGTTGGCCCTCTGTGCCAGTCAAGGCATCCCTCCACCTCACTAGGACTGGGCTGGGACATCACTCAGGAAAGGCCCGTCCACCTCCCACCTACCCCAAGGGCCACTCACCAGGATGGTCGTGACTACCAGTGTCTTGTTGGCCAGTGTCTGCGACAGGTTGATGTCCAGGGTGGTGGCATTCATGGCCAGAGTCCGGTTAGAGTACCACACTCCAATCTGAGGCAGAGAGGGCACTGTCAGCACAGATCCAGCCTGAGAATGCCTCAGACCTCTGGGCACTGCCTTGCCCTCATCTCCCACCCTATCAAGGCTCTGGTGTCACCATGGGTCTGCTCACCTCACGGTGGCCCTGACGAGACTTCTCCAGGATGCGCAAGGTATAGTTGGTCCTCTGCCCTTTGCTGTTGAACTCGACCCGCCCAGTCAGCCCGTCATACTCTACCTAGCAGGGTGGGAGGAGGGCAGAGGGAGGGGTGGCAGGGGCCCAGAGAAGAGACAGAAATGGAGGGGACAAGAGAGAGGGAGAGGGACCAGGAAGGACCACAGTTAAACAAGCAAGACAGCATGCCAGCAAACGAGAGGAGATGCAACAGAGAAGTAGGGCAAGAGCCGCGCAGACAGGCAGAGGAAGGCCGGGAGAAGAGAGACAGATAGAAGGGAGAGGCCCAGAGAGAGCAGGAGATGGTGGGTGGGGTTGGTGGGGGGAGAGGGCGGGGGCGCCGCAGGGTGGACACAGTGAGCGCCCCGCCTGAGGCAGGCTGCTGTGCCCCCTCGGCCCTCCCGCTCCTGGCTCACCATGCGCAGGTAGTTCATGAGGCTGGTCCCGTGGGGCCAAATGTTGGCCGATGTACAGGCCAGCGGCTTCACGCCAATCTCCTGGCTGCGGTTCAGCTCCCGGACAGCGCTCACCACCACATGCACGGCGTCAAACATCAGGGCAGCTGACAGCTGGGGTAGGGTGGGGGGCCAAGGTGGGGCAGGATGGGAAAGAGGCAGCTTAGCCAGGGCAGCCCCGAGGCCCTGTGGTGCTACCCTCAAGCCCTCAGACAACTCTTCTCCCTCCAGGAACATAAAACCACGTAGGTCAGGAGCAAGGAGGGGTCTCTGGATGTCTCTCTGGGAACATAGATGACAGTGGGAAAGGTGTGCATGCTGCCCATGCCTTTGTGGGAGCAGCTCTACCTGACTGTGTGTGGCCTGCCTCTGTTTTGGGAAGGGCATGTCTGAGAGAGTTTGCCTGGATGGTCAGCTGTCACCCCTACAGGAGGATGTTCATGGGTGCAGGAATCTCTGTGTGTCTTTGTGGCTGATGTGGGGTAAGGGGTTGGGTGACAGCCACAGTCCCTGTCTGAGAGTGTCTGCGGATATGTTAGTGGGTAGGGCTGGATAAACATGCCTGCTTGTCTACATACAGGGTGAGAGGCAGCTCTGAGCTGGAGGCCTGGTTCTATTTCCTGTAGAGGGCCAAGTCCCTACCTGTCTCTGAATCTCAGTTTCCTCCCTATAAAGAAGGGATAATAGTTATCTCTGCCTCCAGGGGCTTATGTGGGGATCAAACAAGATATTGCATGCAAAGGGCTGAAAATAGCGCCTGGCACACAGTGAGGGCTCGACATACACTGGGCACCGAGCAGTGACTGACAACACGGGCAGGTGTCTAACAGAGCGTATCTCAGCTGGGTGGGTGTGAAGGTCTGAATATCTGTGTTGTGTAGGTGGGTGCAGGGGTGCACACAAAGGCAGCCGTGTCTGTGTGACAGACCTGCACGCACATGTCCGACTGCATAGCTTGGTGTCCGTGAGTTTCTGTGCACGTATTAGTTTCTCAGTATCTTAGTGTGTGACTAGATGTCTGTGAACAAATACACATAAATATGCATCTCTTGTATGTTTGCATTTATTCAACATATATTATAGGACACCTACTCTGAGCCAGCAGGTTTTAGGTGTTGGGTGTACAATGGTGAACAAAACAGAAACCACTGCCCCCATGGAACTTAACAACCTAAACATCTGTATCCACATCTAAGCAAAATATAGAACAAGTCACATGGTGATTAGATAAGCAGAGATAGGTGGTATGGAGAAAAATCTCGCAGGGAAGCGGGCTAAATAGTGGATAGTTTGCCATTTTTTAAATAGGGAGACATTTGAGCAACAACGTGGTGATGAGTGAGCAAGTTGCTAGTTCTCTGAGGAAGTACATGAGAAGCAGCGGGGAAAGCAAGTGCAAAGGCCCTGAGGTGCACATGTGTTGGGACAGCAGAGGCACCTGGAGGAGACTTGTGGTTGGAGCAACTTGAAACAGATTTCAGCTCAGGGCCACACTGTGAGGCCCGTGGATGTACCCAGAAAGTAAGTGGGGCACCAGAGGGTTCTGAGCATGACAGACTGAGGCCTGAATGGACCCAGGAAGTGCCTGTGTGCAGGGTGCCTGTGTGCCGGGGGCGAGGGCACAAGCTCACCGCGGGGCCGGGGTAGGTGCTGGCTTCACAGTTCTCCCTCCAGGACATATTGAGGCTGCGCACAAACTCGGGATAGAAGGGGTGCGAGGTGTTGAACATGGAGAAGCCCAAGATGTTGGAGGAGTCCTCCACGATCCCGTCCAGGTGCAGGATGGGGAAGTCCTGGGACCGAGAAGAGGGGGTGAGGCTGGGGCTGGGTCCCACGTAGGGCAGATGCTGCAGAGGGAAGCAGGGGCTGGAAGGGCTGCAGGGGGTACGCACCATGGTGGTGAGGATGTACTTGTAAAATGCTGAGGTCATTCCCAGCTCTGAGGCCTGGAGAACGCAGGAGGCAGAAATAGGGAGAAGTCAAGAGAGGAAGAGAGATTTAGAGACAGGCCTGGCAAGGAGATACCCCAGAGAAAACACAGTAAGAGACACCCGAGACAGAGAGAGACAGGGAAAAGGAGATGCATGGGGGCAGAGGGAGGTCTGGTCCCTCACATCCCACTGAGTTGATCGGTTCCCCAGGAGGAACAAAAATTTTGTTGGAGGAGAGAATGATGTCCTCAAATGCCCACATCCTTAGAAAACTACCTTCTAGAGACAGTTATGCAAAGGGATACCTCAGAAACTGGATGGGTAGGGGGTGGGTAACCTTAACTTCAACCTTAACTTACCCCAGGCTGCCCCAAAGCTAAGTCTGGGCTGCTAATGTGTAGGGCTCAGCCTGGTCACAGACCAGAAAAACTACCCACTGCAGTCTTTAAAAACTCTTTCCAATGAAAGGCAGCCAACTGAAATATCAGGATTCATGTTTTGAGCTCCCTCTCGCACAGTTCTCGAGGAGAACAAAGTTAAAAGACATCTCCATGCCAGGAGTGCACAATTCTGTCTCACTATGATCACTAGAACATTAAATGGCACCAGCTTGCATTGCCTGCTTGGCAGGGGCTGTTAACATGTGGGTTACAGCTCATTCTAGGAGAGAAAAGTGCAGGCTCAAGAGAAAAGTGACCACTGGTCACTGGGCTCACAGAGGAGGGGCTGGAACCCCAGCCCAGGCCCACCGTGCCTGCCTCAAACCCAAAATGCTTTCTCTGAGCCATCTGCCTCAAGAGCCCCGTGGATTCTGTCTATACTTCTCCCTGTAAGCTACGATCAGCAATGACACAAGGCTTTAATTTAAAAAAAAAAACTGAAGAAAAATAAATGATATAGATTAGATTATAAGGATAAATTAAGAGCAGGGAAGCAATGAATGATTAATGAATGTGGGTCACTGGTGGATGGCATGTCGCAGGCCCATGAGGGGAAAGTCCTGGTGCCGGCCCTTCCTGGGTGCCTGGGGCCAGTCCATTCCCCATGGAAACCCTGTTTTTTCATCCACAAAATGGTATCATACCTACCCTGCAGGGTGGAGTGAGAGCCAAATCAAAGAAGATGTGCAGAGCACCCCAACACAGAGCAGGAGAGGCACTCAGTAAAGATAACAGGGAGCTCCCACTATGCCAGCACTTACTCTGGGCCAGGGACTGTCCCAGCGCTTCCCTGCCATTCACTCAGTAGCCCTCACAGCAACCCACTGAGGTAGCAGGTATTCACAGAGAGGGGAGGTGACTGACTGTCCAGGATCCAGCCAGGGGTGCAAGAGGGAAGAAGCTGAGCTGAAAGACAACTTCCATCATCTGCCCGCAGAAAGCAATCTCCGTACCCCCATGTGACCCTTGAGGCCTGAGGGCACTGGGTGACTTGCTCTGTCACCCATGTTTCTGTTCCTGACCCTGTAGGGCATTAGAGATGGGGGGACCCACCTTACGGAGAATGAGGTGGGAGACAGATGCGTTGGCATCGATGATGATGGTGGACACCTTGTCATCGCGGATCTCTTTGAGCAGCGGCGTGGGGTCCCGGCTGTCATCCAGCATCCTCACTGACAGCGTCTCTTTGGAGATGAGGAAGCCACGCACCAGTTCCTCCAATCGCAGCAGGCCTGAGGGAGGGGTCAGGCCCTGGGTTAGATCCTTTCCATGTGCCCTCCGTGTGCCCAGACATGGGGTGGCCACTCTCTCCTCTCTGGCGTGGGATAGCCAGGGAGAGGACAAGGGCTTGCTCAGGAGGTTGGCGGGCTGTCCAGAGTGCAGTTGGCTCTGCTGGGGTGCTGGGCCTAGGAGCCTGATGCTGGGGTCCTCCCAAATTAAAATCCCAACTGAGACCTCCCCTGACCTCCAGACGCCTGTCTCCTGCCACCTCTCTGCTCCTGCTGGGATGCATGACAGGCATCGCACACTTCACACACGCAGAGCTGCAATCTGCTCTTCTCGCCCAAACCACCACTTCTCGCCGGGTCGGTGAACAAACTCCAGCCTGCCAGTCACACAGGCCAAAGCCCTTGATGGCAGCCTAGCCTCCTCCCTCTCCCTCTCCCTGTCTCTCACCCATGCCCAATCCACTGGCTCTACTTTCAAAATACACCCCATGGCACTGCGCCACCATCACTGCCCTGGCCCAAGCCACTGCCATTTCCTCTCTGTTACAACAGCCACACTTGCCCCCGGAGAGTCTGTCCTCTCTGCAGCAGACGGAACTGCTCTAAAGCAGATGTGCTCCTCCTCTGCTCCAAACCCTCTAACAGCTTCTTGTTCATTCAGAATGAAGCCCAAAGCCCTCACAGTCTCCAAGGCCCCACTCCACTTGCCTGCTCCCCTCATTATCTCCCTGACCCCATCTCCTCCTCTCTCACTTGCTCAGCTCTGGCCATACTGGCCTCCTTGCTCACACACTTGTACACTCATACACACACACACACACACACATGACAGCCGTGCTCTGGTCCCATGGCCTTTGCACTGGCTGTTCCCACTGCCTGGAACGCCCTTCTCCATTTCCCACATGGCTCCCTTCCTCACCACCTTCAGATCTTTCCTCAAGTGTCTTCTCTTCAATGAGGTCCACACCCACTGTTCCATTTCAAATCGTACCTCCTTACTCCAGCATCCCAGGTCCCATCATCCTGGCCTATCAGTCTGTAGGACTTATTACTTCTGACTCTACAACATCTCACCTATGTTCACTGCCTAGCTCCTCCCATATGAATGCAGGTTTGACAAGGGCAGCCTGGCTCACACACTGCCACATCCCGAATACCAAAAACAAAGTTTGGCCCAGAGCAGGTGTTCACTAAATACCTTTTGAAAGAGGAATTCCTCCTGGCAGTTACTGAGCACGGCCTTCTCTCCTTCTCCAGCTGCATACCCACAAACCCACCAGCTTAAAGGTCCCTTTCTCCAGGACATGGGCTCCGAACCACCCAGACTCAGGTAGGATCACCCCCATGCAACTCCTGAGAGCACGGATCACACTGTATCACAACTGCTCAACCATCATGTCCTCCACTGTCCCAGAGCTCCGTGAAGTCAGGGACCACACCTAGCGTTGTTCACTGCTAAACCACCGGGACCTAGCAGGTACTTAGTCACTATCTGCTGACTAAATGGTCTCTTTGGCAGGGAGGGGGGGTCTGTGGAAGCAGAGGTCTGGGTTCCTGAGGGGGAAGGGGTGGTGGGGACTAGGAGAGCCTGTGTCTGGGACCCCCAGGTGTTACAACTAGGGGGCACCAACTAATGACTGTGGGAGACTAGATCCCTTGGAAAGGGGAGTTTGCGGGAATAGAAAACAAAGTATCCACTTCTCCTTCCTCACACTCGGCCTTGGCGCAGATGAGGCTGGCCGAGGGGTAGTTGAAGGACTTGAGGATTCGGGAGACTGCCAGGCTGACGTCCTCGTTACTGGGGTACAGGCTGACAGACGCGAAGCGAAGGTATTGAAGGCGGGGTGTCTCCTCAGGACCCACCTTGATGTGAGGGATCTGAACAGAGAAGGATCTTTGCTTCCATCTTGCTCCTTCTCCCCAGTCCTTACCTCCAGGACACACCCCCACCCCACTCCATGCTCCCGCCTCACCTCCTTCTCCCCACAGATATGGCTCACGGTGGAGGCAGATGCAGGGCTGGAGGATGGTCCCAGGACAGACACGACCCCCTTGGGCAGGATCTGACACACTGTCAGGGGTGAGAAGAGACGCAGATTCAGGGACCTTCTTCCTCCTCTCTGGCCCCACCCTTCAGGGAACTGCCCTGGCCCAGGAGAGAACCCGACTCTCCGTACTGAGCTGCCTGATCCTCCTCCACCACACAGGAGCCCCGAGGCCCAATCCCTGATGATCCCTGACCCGGCCCACCATAGGGGACAAAAGAAGGGGGCACAAGACAGGGGGAGATGCGAAGAAATGGCAACAGAAAGCCAGGTGAGACCAAGAGAGAAACAAAGGAAGAGACAAAGAGGAAAACACCAGGGCCTCCTTCTGGCTGCAGACCCAGTGCTTGGTTTCTCAGCCTTCGTCTTTCTCAACCTTTTTAACCACAGCACAACCTAGGGTGCATCTAACACCCCATCTACCCTGAACTCACAGTTGAGGTCCCCTCCAAACTATACACCCCAAACACCCTTCTTCTGTTGCATTTACTTGCTCCTCTTTCTTCCACCTTCTTTCTCCTTAATTAAAATGTGTGTGTGTCTCAAGACAGGGAGGTGGAAGCTTTTGTGGGCAGGTTGCCCATTCCTATGGCAGAACCCTAACTTTTCCTCAGGGAACCACATGACATGGTTCCCAGGATTGATTGACACCTGACCCAGGATCACAGAACCACATTGTCCTGGTCACAGTGATCACTTCAGAGATGGGGACAGGCTCAAACTAGGCCACTGAGAGCCTTCCCCAGGTCTTCTGCTAAAATTATTACTGGGTTTGCTAAACTGGTGAGATGTAAGTTTTGAGCATTTGAGGCCATCTTACCACCTGCTGGGGAGTGCACTCCTAAAAATGAAGCCAACGTGGAGAAAATCAGGACTCAGAGATAAAGACAGAGTAGATTCCTGGAACATCACTTGAATGCCTATATCAAGCTATGCCTGAAACAATCCTACAATAGCATTTGACTACCTAGATCCAATCATGCCTGAAATTAATCCTTAGGCCTTTTAGTGACATGAACCAATAACTTTTCTTTTTCCCTTAGGGCAACCTGAGTTGGGTTTCTGCCATCCAACTAAAAGCAATGGAACTAAACATCTCATCTTCCTCCAAACTTGCTCCTTCCACGCCTTCCATGTTGGTGAGGGCCCCACCGATTCACACACCAAATATCTGGAAATGGTCCTTGCCTTCGATCTTTCTTCTAACAGCCAATTAGTAACCAAGCTTTATCTCTTTTTTGTCAAATCTTCTCCTATTCATCCTCTCCTCTTTGACTTCTCCTCCCCTGCCCTACTTTAGATTTCTCAACTCAGGCATGCACCAGCCTTCTCTCCAGCCATCCAAATCTAGCCTCTAGATTCCATTGTCACCAGCTCCTGCCTCAAACCCATCAATGACTCCCCACTGCCTGCAGATGAAGGTAGTATCTTTCAGCCTGACCTGAAGGCCTCCTCGATCCCCTGACAATCTGCCCAGCCTCATCTCCCACCGCCCAGTCATACTCTCGTCTATAAGACTCTCACGATCCCCCACAACATGTCCTGAGTCCACGTGGTCAGGATGGGTACAACCCCACACCCTATTCCTTGGCTCCAAATACTCAGCTCTCCCCTCCACCCCAGCTCCAGACTACAGGCACATGCCTGGAACACCATCTGTCTCCTCACCCTCCATCCCAGTCTCTCAATTTGTGTTCTGTGCTACACCAGTCAAAAAAGTCCAGGAAATATTGTACCCTATCTTCCCTTTCGGTGATCTGAAACACATATGAACATGAAAAAGGCTCCAATAAGGTCTGCAGGAAAGAAATCTGTCTAAAACATGTTTGAAGGCAGCATCTCCCCATGGTCTAAGACCCCAGCACGTCTGTTAATAGGGACCCCTATTAACATTTGCTCAGTCCGTGAGTATTCAACAAATACTCATGCACCCTGACTATCCAGCTGGTCTTGTTCCACAGGGCATACCTTGAGCAATACCTCTCTTTCCATATCCTACTCATCTTTCACAGCTCAGCTTCAGTGTAGCCTCCTCTAGAACAACTTCACTGTCCCTGCCCCTGAGCACCCTGGCTCACTGCCTAGGCCCCTCATTACTCAGTTCTGGGGGCTAAGAGTCCTCAGCCAGCTATGAAGCTTATCTTTCAGATGAGGCCATCAGCTCATTCAGGCCAGCACCAGGGCTGGTGCCCTCCCCACCACCCCACGCCCATCAGCACCATCTCTAGGAAGGAGAAGGCAGTGCAGACATGAAGGAAGGGGCAGATGGAGCTAGAAGAGAGCGAGGCAAGCTGAGGTGGCCAGGGCTGAGGGATGGATTAAGGGCCACCACCCTGCCCTACCTCACCCCACGCCCCCTGTGGCCCTGCTCACTGGTGTCCGTGGTCTCGTACTGGCTGTCCCGCTGCAGCTCAAAGATGTCTACTTCCACGCGAGCCTTGGCTGGGACCTCGATGATCCCGTTGATCTGCTCCCGGGCCAGGGCTAGGGCCAGCCGTTCACCACGGCCACACACTGTCTGGTCATCCAGGATGGCAGCTGAGGGGATACAGGGGTTGGGGACCATACTCCTGGGTCCTGAGGGAGAAAGGGCTGGGCTCCTGGACTCCCTGGCTCTGAGGTAGGGCTGGAGATGGGGACCAGGGGTCTAGACTCCTGGATCTGAGGTTGGAGAGGGCTGGGATCTGGACTCCCAAGTCCAGGGGGAGGAAGGAGCTGGGGGCTGCTGGGCTGAAGCCCAGATCTCTGGGTCTTGAAGAACTGGCATGCCCAAAGAAGAGCCGTGGGGCCCAATAGGAGAGTCTGTGAGGAGGCAGGAGCAGGGGCTGTAGGGCCTCACCCATGCGCAGTGATGAGAGCACCTGGCAGCTGGGGCTGGCGAAGGCAACAATCAGCAGCAGCAGCAGCTCAGCCGGCATCTTCCTCCCCTCCTCATGGGGACGCAGCTGCCGCGGCCCCCACTCGCCACCTGCAGGGAGACCCCAATCCATGGGGAGACTGCTGATATGGGGGCCTCTAAGGCCCTTTTGTGCACTGCTGGATGGGGTAGTGACCACAGAGCCTGGAACATTGTTGGTGGACTCTGAAGAGCCCTGCCCTCATTAGAAGCTGACAATACTGAGGGCATTGCTGGGGGGAAGCCCAGACTCAGAGAAGCCCTAGCAGGGAGAAGCTCACAGCACTCAGGCGCTGAGTGGGAGAAGCACTGCTAGAGGATTTTCACAGCTACCAAAACAGGAGGGAGGCATGATAAAGATTTCAGGTAAGAGTGAATTCCCTGGACCATCCCCACCCTAATAGGAAACCAGGAAGTGCCATCCCCCACCCAGTCCCGCCCCTGTCTCTGGGCAAGCAGCTGTTACTAGGCAACAGAAACCGGCTGGAGAGGATGCAGTGGTTGCTAGGCAACCCCATCCCAGGCCTCACTTGCCACCTTCCTGACGTCCCTGGTTCCCACAATCCCACAGGGAAAGAAGCCTGGACATCCGGGGTCTGGAGGGGAGAGTATCCGGGAGTTAGGAAACTTGGGAAGAGAAAGACACATGGAGACACACAGGTGGAGACAGATGGACAGAGACCCAAGGTGCCTAAGAGGCTAAAAAACAAAGAAGAGTAAAGAGAGAGAAGAGGGAAAAGAGAGAGACAGAACGAGGAAGAGAGCCTGGGGGTGGAAGGGATATCAAGAGACTCAGAAAAGGAGAAAGGGAAAATTGGCCAAAAAATAAGGGGTTAGAAAAATGATAAGAAAAAGAGAAGGAGAGTGATAGGGAGATAAGGATAGAAGTAGGAGAAAAAGGGAAGAGATAAAAAGATAGGCAATGGAGAGAGAAAGGGCAGGACAGGGAGAGGAAGAGCAGGCAGGCAGAAGACAAGGAAATCAAGCCACAGGAAGGACACAGAACAGAACAGGAAGAAAGGATGAAGAGAAGACACAAACCCACTTGAGATGCCACCAGAGAGAGCGGGAAGGGAAGAGTGAGCAAAGCCCGGAGTGCACTGTCTGCTGAAGCAGGTGCAAAATTGCAAACTGCAGCCCCCGACCCTGCTGTAGGGAGCTGAAGGTTGGGGGAGACAGTGAGTCTCTGCTCTCCACAGCTGCTCCCTACCTCCCAGATTTCTGCAGGGTCACCACTGGGCAGGGATGAGATTGGTCAGATGCACAGCTCCCCCAGGCCAAGAGCCATGCCCAAAGGAAGGGACACTTGGGTTTCCATGGGAGAGGGTTACTGAAAGGCCTGGAGTGCTATGAGGTGAGCTTATAGCCGGGGGTCTTCCCACACCCGACTCATCCCCACAGAAGGAGGGCTTAAGCTGGTGAGATGGCAGAATGAAACCTGCTAGTGGAGGCAGAGGTATAATACAACACTTCAGAATGTCCCTTGTGGCCTGGAAAACCTAGGCCTGGACAGCAGGAGACCCCATCAGTCCCTGCTCTACCTCTGACTCCCACATGACCTTGAGCAAGTCCCTTTCTCTTGGGATCTCTGGGAAAGACAGGCTGGGGGTGGGAGGGCATGCTGGACAGCCTGTAGGCTGTGGACTGTAATTTGGATCTGAGGTGAAGGCTTTTCAAGGGTGGAGGAGCAAGGGAAACAGAGAGCCCAAAAGGAGACATCCCAGAGGGATGAGGAGGGCAGGGCTAGGAAAGAGGCAGGGGTGACGGGGTCATCCTGAGACACCAGGGGCTTCTAGGGGCAAATCAGGGAGCAGAGACTAGAGGACAGAAAGACTGAGGAAGAGACAGGGGCCGGCAGGGCAGCACCCCACAGGTGGCAGGCACAGGTGGGAGCCGTTAGAGAGAGTACAGGGACAGGGCTGGGGGCAGCAGATGGACACAGAGGCACAGGAAGGCCCAGAAAGAAAGACAGATAGACCAAGAGGAAGTGGCTGAGGCTATAAGAGAAAGGGACACACAAACATCACCTAGAAGGGAGACACAAAGGGGACAGAGACAAGATGGGGAGCATGAGACAGGAGGGGAACAGAATCAGGCCTGAGCCCTACAGGCCCAGAGACTTAGGCAAAGCCAGGTATAGGTGGAAACACAGCAACCAAGCAAGCACAAGGGGCACTGCCAGGGGAAGAAGAGAGACAAGTAGGCAAGGGAGAGAGAAGGCAAAGGCCAGAGGGCAAATGGGGTGAGCGAAAGGGCAAAAAAGTTAACAGGCACAAGAACTGTGGGGAGGAGAGAAATAGCAAAACTCTGAAAAGGGCTAGTCAGAAAGAGGCAGAGAAAAAGTATGAGAGAGCCACACAGCAGACTACAGAAGAAGGGGCAAGTGGGACAGACACGAGATGGAGAGAGAGGGACTCACAGGCAAGGGGAGAGGAGAAGCAAGAGTGAGGGAGGGAAACTGAGGCAGTAGGAAGGGTGAGTGACCCAGAGGGCACGGGCAGGGATAGGACAAGCACCTGCATCAGGGGGCAAGTTCACAAGAGGTACATCCACACAGAATGCCTTGGAAGAGGGGTTAATTCTAGAGCCTGCAAGCCCCAAAGTGAGGGAAGGAATGGGAACCAAACGGCCAAGTAGGGAAACACAGAGGTGGGAAGAGAGAAGGGGAGGGGCAAGACACCAAGGAAAAGACAAAGTGGACCATGGAGGGGGACAGTGGCTAATGAGTGAGGGATGGAGGAGATAGAACTCAGAGTGGATCTAGAGGAGAAAAGCAGAAAAGTAAGAGAATGAAGACGGCGTCCAATCCCAGAGTTCAAGAGGGAGGCAGATAGGTGAGCAGAGGCACAGGCAAAGCAGTGGACAGAGGGCAGTGGACAGAGGGCTAGACCTGGCGTGGGATCCTCCCAAAGAGAGAGGAGTTTTGAGAGAGAGAGAGAGGAGAAGGAGAGGGAGAGAGATCAACGGAGACACACCAAGAAAGGGTTGGGTTAACAGCAAAGAGAAAGAAGTTGGACAGAATCAGAGAGAAGCCCAAGAGACACGTGAAATGGAGATTCAAAAATGGAAAGACATTTCCAGGAGATCAAGACCAGATGGGATGGGGATGGGCCCATGGCAGGCAAAGAGGATGAGGCTCCGAGGAAAGAAGAGACTGAAACAGAGTGAGAGATCAGAGCCGGTCACCTCGGGACTGAGGCTGGAGCAAGCAGGGGCGGAGACCTGTCAGGAGTCCTGGAGAAGGAGTGAGACGGCAAGTAAGAGCCAGTCAGACCCTCAGGACCCAGGAGCAAGGCTGAAGAGCAAGGCTGAGCTGTGTACCCAGAAGGGGTGAGAAAGGCCGAGGTGAACTGAGGCTGGGAGATGGAGGGTGCAGGGCAGGCCCCTGGTGGGGGAGGGTATTTGCCGGTCTGGTCCGGGGAGCAGGGGAATGTGGGGCCCTGCAGGCAGCAGTGAGCCTAGCCTTCCAGGACCCAGTCCCGGCCCCAGCCCAACCCCAGCCCTGCAGACACTCACGGATCCTGGTGGGACGGAGGGCTGGGCTCCCTCGAGGCCCGAGGAACGACAACGAAGAGATGCTCTGGCACTGGGTGGTGTGGCTGGGGCGGGGGGAGAGGGCAGTCCACAGGGCCCCCTCCCCCGCCTCCGGTAATGGCCCCCAACTAATCCAAAACAGGGGCTCCCCGGGAACAGTGAGGAAGGACAGGTGGAAGAGGAGAGGGCGGGCCGGGGAGGGGAAAAGGGGAAAGGAGAAAATGGAGGAGGGAAGGGGAGAGAAGAGAGGGGGAAGGAGCAAATGGAGGAGAAGGAGGGAGGAAAGGAGGGAGGAAGGTGAAAACGCAAGGGAGGGGGCACAGGCAGAGCCGGGGGAGGGGAAGCCGGCCAGGCAAGGGCCCCCACCCCTCCCCTAGCCGGGCCGGCCTCGGGGGGGGGCCTCGTGGGGGCGAGGACTGGGTGGAGCAAGGAGCCGGCCATCAGG